TTTTGCTTCTAGGTGCTTAACCCTTTCATGCTCATCAGAGCAAAGAGGATTTGATCTAAACCAACACTTCCTGAACTTGCTTTTATCAGAATCATCCAGGGTGCTTTTTAAACATACAGATCATCATTTTTCATTTCAAGCCATCTAAATCAGAACCAACAAAGAGAGCATGGATAGCTGTATTTTAAATAGTGTACGGAGCGTGGCAACCACTGATCAACTCAGAAAGTCTTCCTCTCCAAACAAGATAACATTTTTCTGAGCATTTTTCACGTGTCCAGCACTTTGCTACATCATCTCATTTATTTCCTGCACTGAACAATGGCTCCATATCCCAAGTATACAAAGTCAGGTTATAATCCCAGCACACTGGGAGGCTGAGGCAGGCGGATCACCTGAGGTCGGGAGTTCGAGACCAGCCTGACCAACATGGAGAAAACCTATCTCTACTAAAAATATAAAAAAAATTAGCCGGGTAAGGTGGCGCATGCCTGTAATCCCAGCTACTCGGGAAGCTGAGGCAGGAGAATCGCTTGAACCCGGGAGCCGGAAGTTGCGGTGAGCCGAGATCACGTCATTGTACTCCAGCTTGGATAACAAAAGCAAAACTCCATCTAAAAAAAAAAAAAAAAGAGAGAGAGCGAGCGAGAGAGAGGATAAGTACTCCTGTAATCCCAGCACTTTGGGAGGCCAAGGTTGGTGTATCACCTGAGATCAGGAGTTCAAGACCAGCCTGACCAACATGGTGAAACCCCGTCTCCACTAAAAATACAAAAATTAGCCGGGCGTGGTGGCGGGTGCCTGTAATCCCAGCTACTCCATAGGCTGAGGCAGGAGAATCACTTGAACCCAGGAGGTGGAGGTTGCAGTGAGCCAAGATCACGCCACTGCACTCCAGCCTGGGTTCGACAGAGCAAGACTCCGTTTCAAAAAAAAAAAGAGAGAGAGGATAAGTCACTTGACCAAGAGATGGAGCCTGGCTTTGAAAGACGGGCTGGGCCGGGCGCGGTGGCTCAAGCCTGTAATCCCAGCACTTTGGGAGGCCGAGGCGGGCGGATCACAAGGTCAGGAGATCAAGACCATCCTGGCTAACACTGTGAAACCCCGTCTCTACTAAAAAAAAAAATACAAAAACCTAGCCAGGCGTGGTGGCGGGCACCTGTAGTCCCGGCTACTTGGGAGGCTAAGGCAGGAGAATGGCGTGAACCCGGGGGGCGTAGCTTGCAGTGAGCCAAGATCGCACCACTGCACTCCAGCCTGGGGCACAGAGCAAGACTCCGTCTCAAAAAAAAAAAAAAAAAAGAAAGACGGGCTGTTTGGACCTGACCCTGCTACCCTTTTGAAGCTCCCGCTCGAAGTCAAACCAAGCCATTTATTTACTTATTGCGCCTCTAGAGTTACAGAAAATATACACTCTTGAGTTGGAAAATGCCAGAAGCCTGGGAGGAATGGGGAAATGAAGACAATGGTGGATTATTCTCTTTCTTGGGCTCATTCCCTCTGCTTCCGTTGCAAATTCAGCTTAACCATCACTGTCTCTTGGAAGCCTTCCCCAACCACCCGCCAACCACCAAACCAGGGATAGATGCCCCTGCTCTGTGCTCTTAAGGTCTCCTGGAGTCGTGGGCTGCAGTTACTTGTTTACTGAATAAACCCCATGAGATTAGAGCTACGTCTACTTTCTCCACTAACATATACCTGGACAGTGCCTGCCACGTGCGAATACTCAATCATGACCGAAAGAAGGGAGAGAAAGTGTTTGCCAAAGTGCTAAACGGCATCACACTGAGATGGGAAAGACAAAGGATTGGAAGTCTGGAGACTCACAGCAACAAACCGATTTTGGGCAAGTTCGTTTGGACAGGGGAGAGGGGGTTGGTGTCCTTATCTAAAAATGAGGAGAAGAGCACTCTCCTATGAATAGTTATAAAGATCAAATTAAAGAATGATCCAGGCTCTGATTTTCTCCTTCTCTCTCTCTCTCACACGCTCAAACTCATCCATTTTATTGGCTGACATCTAAGTGCTGACAATTGCCATATTTATATCTCCAGCCCAGACTCCCCTCCTAGACTCCAGACTCACAGCCAAAGCCCGTCTCTATGTGGATGTTTTACGGGCATCTCCAAGAGAGTATTTGAATTGTATCCCCTAAGCACAACCTGCTCCTCGCCTAGTCTCTGTTATGTGAATAATCCTCCCATCCACCCAACCGGTTTTTTTTTTTTTTTTTTTAAACTAGGTGAAATTTACATAACTCAAAGCTAGCCATTTTAAACTAACAATGTGTGGCATTTACTATCCTCATGATGATGTGCAAACTGTCACCTCTATCTAGGTCCAAAACATTTTCATCACTCCAAAAGGAAACCACTGAGCCATTAAGCAGTCAAGCCCCAGTCCCACTTCCCCCTCAGACCAGCACAAACACCAATCTGTTCTCTGTCTCTATGGATTTACCTCTTCTGGATGCTTAACATAAAGGGAATCACACAATATATAACCTTTGGTGTCTGGCTTTTAAAACATGCTTTCACATAGTATTTTTAAGGTTCACCCACATTGCAGCATGTATTAGTACTTCACTCCTTGTTATGACTGAGTAACGTTCTATTATATGTTATACCACATTTTATTTATTCAGTCACTTACTGATGGAGCTGCCAGACTTTCAGTAGCCAACGAATCTTAAACCATAAGGCTGGCCACCACCCTTCATCCCCTCCCCCTTCCCATATTCCCTGCATTTAAAGTATCAGCAAATCCTATCCATTTTGCTTCCTAAATAGAGCTCAAATCCTTTTACTTTTCTCCAACACTATTGCTGTCCTTTAGCCCAGACACCAATATATCTCTCACTGAGCTTCCAACTGTGACAAGATCTCATTCTTTCTTCTCTCTATTCCACTTCTCACCTGGTAGCTGAGATGGGCTCCTTTCAAAACATAAACCAGATCATCCATTCATTTAGGCAATATTTACTAAGCACCTTTCTTCAAGGAGTTTGCCTCCCAGAGGCATAACAGACAACACACAAATATACACTATTATATCAGGTTTAAAATCCTTCAATGATTCATTGCACTTCAGATAAAAATCTACGCTCAGCATGGCCTCCAAGACTTCATCGCCTTCAAACTCATCTCAGGCCACTCCACACAACCTGCCCACTATGTGCTCCAACCACAGTGGGCTCCATTCCTCCACCTCATGGTCTTTGAATTTAAGCTGTTGTCTCTGCCTCTTGATCTTGGCATTGCTGGATCTTTCTCGTCCCCTACATCTCAGTGTAAATATCACTCCTTTGGGAGACCTTCCCTGACTACCCTGTTAAGCACATCCACCCTTCATTCATGTCACTCATTTAAGAAATACGTGCTAAACCCTGTGGTAGGCTCCTGGGATGAAGCAACGTATGATCCCCTGGAGTCTGCAGTCTAAAGGGGAGGACCAACAATAGGAAAGTAAGTGAAATAGATAAATGACTGTTACGAAGGGAGAATAAAAAGGAGGGAGTACAGAAGGCCTTTCCAAGAAGGTTATATTGAAGCTGAAAGACAAGGAGTCAATTGGACAAAGAGCCTGTTATTCTCTATCACATCCTGGCTATGCAATGCAATGTTCCATCCCTCAACGCTTGCTTTTGATGAATCCAAGTATTTAATGTCCATCTCCTCTAACAGACTGAGCTTTCTCCCCAGCACCTACGACAGCATCTGCCCCTCAAGAGGCACTCAACACACATTGATTGATTAATTAGTGGATGAATGAATGATTAATCAATCAATCCACCAATGAAAACACTTTGGAAAGTGTAACAAATCACAGAGTTGTGAGTGATTGTTCTCACTATTATAATTATTATTTTGTGGCAAAAGAACATCAACTCTGTTGGATTTTGGAAGAGACTGGGTTTACTTTAAAATGAGAATAAAAGTACCTAAGTTGGAGTATTACTGGACAACTAGGAGAGAATGTATATACATAATAGACACTCAGAAATGGGAAGCAGTAGTTTTTGTGGCTATTATTAAAAGCTCCTCACAAAAGCTGACTCAACTCAAATTCCAAAACTCATTTTCAGGTGCAGTCACGAAATTTAAAGGTGAGAGAAATGAATACTTTTAAGATATTTACTACACACCAGGTACAGTAAAAAGCACTACCTCATTTGTGAGGTAGTGTAGCGGATGCCCTGGGGAAACTCTCAACCCCCCTTCAAGACCAAGACACTCATGCCTTCCCCATGTCCAGCTGCCAGAGTGTTGGTTACTCCAGCTCTCAGCTGAGTACCTAGTCAGGAACTGTCCTGCTGAAGGGACATCCTAGCTCCCTTCCTAGGGTCAGCCTGCACCCACTGGCTGATCAACATTAAGCTTCAAAGGCCTCGTCCCTTTGTCTCATGGGATGGATTGAGGCCTCTCTTGCACTACACCATAGATCAACATCTCCCTCTGCCCAATCCTGCTTCCCTTATCTGCACACAAATCTCAGAAGTGCCAAGTCTTTCTCCAGGGAACCTGACCCATGACAGATGAGTATGATGATTTCCTTTTAAATCAGAAAAAGAAGGTTCATGAAGGTTGCTAATGTCCCCAAAGCCTATGGCTAAAGTGACATTCTAGTCTGATTTCCCAGCTAGCCCTTGTTCTTTCTACTACACCAATCTACACACAGCCTTGCCTCCAATGGCTGAGACTGGGTCTCTGTGAAACAGAAAGGGGAGCCCAGGGAGAGCAGTAGGGCACACAGAGGGCCTGAAAATGAGAAAAGAAGAGCAGAGGCACCCTTCAGAGTCCTGATGACAAGACCGAGGTCACAAGGCTCCAGAAACAGTATCAAACTGATGTGCAGACTGCAGAAGCAAGCATTACACGGACAGCATCTCTTCGCCTGAATCCATGTCCAGAAGCCAGGGAGCAGGGCTGCCGGGCAGAGGAGGCTCCCTTAGGCGGGGAAGAGCATTTGCAGCCAAGGTCCAAAAAGTAACTACAACTTACCAGCTTTCTGATGCTCCGGTATCCATCCGTTGTCCCCAGAGCTGCCAGAGAGACCTGATCACTGATCAGAAATCTTCCACGGCCCTCCTTCATTCCAGGATAAAATTCTAAATATTCTAAGGCTGCACTTTAAGGTCTGTGCATGTTTTAGCTCCCTGCCATGTCGACAACTTATTTCCTACCTATAACAAGACCCGGTCCTACTCCATTATCTGCTGTAGAATTATCTGATGTTCTAGGTCAGGACACCGGACCTTTTCAGTTTCTTTACCTTTACACAAGAAAATCCACCTGGAATTCCTGCTCCCCATCAACTCCCACCCCCAACACACTTTTCAGCCAGGCAAAACCTCCGACTTCTAGTCAATGGTCACCTACTCTCTGAAGCCTTCCTGGCTTCCTCACCGTCCTCTTCTCCATCTCGAGTCTTCCGCACTACCCTGCACTGCAATTGCTCCTCCTACTGTCCCTCTTAGCCCCAGGAGCTCCCCAAGGCCATTCTTCATGCTGCTAGGGCTTGGCACCGTGCCTGGCACTCAGAAAGAGCCAAGTAAGTGCTGGATAGATACACGAGGTGCTGTATCCAGAGCTATTCTCTGCTTCTAGCTTGGCCAGGGAACCACTCTGAGATTTCGTCCTGCCCCCAGGCTGACTAGAAATCGGCCACGGCGTGACAAATCTGACCCCCCAAACCCAAGGCAACAGGTCATGAGGGATCTGGGGACCTAAGGCAGGTCCTAGGATCCGGCGCAGAGCAGAGGTCCAGCCGCTGCGGTTCCTGGTTTCCCGCAAGCTCTTCCCCGGGTCGGGCGCTGGGTGGAGGCAGTCTTAGGATCCACAGTCTTGCGCGCCCCCGGCTCCCGGGCCCGGCAGACGGCCCCCGCACGCCGATCTGTCTATCCCAGGGACCGGCCCAGGGCCCCGGCAGCTGCAGCCTGGGGAGACACTGTGGAGCGCGGCTCCCTGCCTCCCTCCCTGCCCCTCCTTGCGCCCGCATCCCGCGGACACAGAGCCGGAGCTCCAGGGGACGCAGCCCGACGCGAGAACGCACCAGCAGCCCCCGCTCGGGGTGGGGTCTCCCGGCTGTCAGAAACCCTACAAAGTCTACTTTGCGGCGGCGCGCCGCTTACCGTGCGAGCCGCCAGGAACTCGGCGCCCGGTGGTGCCTCGGCGCGGCGCCCGCCAGTAGATCCGCTCCGGGTCCCGGGAGCTCAGCCTCTGCCCCTCACCGCGCGCGAGCGCCCCCGCCCGGCGGCCCGGCCTCCCCGCGCCGCGGCGCCCCATTGGCTCGGGCAAAGAGGCCCCCGGACGGCCCCGCCCACCCGCGCCCACTCCCTTGCCCACGCCTCTCCCCTCCCCCCTGCCGGGTTCACCTCTCCGGGCGGGGAAAGTTGCTTCTAGACTCTGAGCTTTCACCGGGCTGAGGAGCCCACTTAACTAATAATTATGGGTCTCAGGAGTGTCTAGACGCCCCTCGGGGAGTACGAAGACTGCAGTGTCCTTGGAATCCACCTTCGGGAAAGTCAGCTGACCTCCCGGACCTCAAAGTGGCACCTCAGAGAAACCAGGGCCCCTGGTCAGCAAACGTCCCAGGCTGTGGGCTAGGTCCTAGGGCCAGAATGCAACAGGGAGCAAGACAAAGTCTATCGTCCTCGTGGACTTTGCATGGGGTGGGGAAAGGGGTAGGTTATATACAACAAACGAAAAAGACAAGAGAATGTCGGCCGGGCGCCTGTGGCTCACGCCTATAATTCCAGCACTTTGGGAGGCCGGGGCGGGTGGATCACGAGGTCAGGAGTTCCAGACCAGCCTAGCCAAGATAATAAAACCCCGTCTCTACTAAAAATATAAAAATTAGCTGGGCATGGTGGTGCGCGCCTGTAGTCCCAGCTGCTCGGGAGACTGAGGCAGAATTGCTTGTACCCGGAGGCAGAGGTTACGGTGAGCCGAGATAGCGCCACTGCACTCCAGCCTGGACAACAGAGCTAGATGCCGTCTCCGGAAAGAGAGAGAAAGAAAGAGAGAAAAGAAAAGAAAGAGATCTAGGACTGCTATACCCGGGGTGGTCTCTGGGACACTTGTGATTATTTGATAGTTGCAGGACAAAAACGATTCCAGGGCTGAAGCAGGAGCATTGCTGACAGAGGGGTCGGCAGATGTATGGTTCTGAAGCTGGAACTGGCCCCCAGGATGGTTGAGTGAGGTGAGCAAGGGGAGAGTGGGTTATGGCCAGAGAGGCAGACTAGTGTGGAATCACCATCACCCAGAACCTTGTAGGCCACTGAGGATCAGGGATTCATCATATCAATCTGGAGGGAACAATTCAGGCAAGAGATTATGGTGATGAAGACCAGGGTGGTGACAGCAAGATGGGGAAAAGGTGGAGCCACTAAAATGTGTGTCAAAAGTAGCACAGGAAGGCTTGATGATGGATTAGGCTGGATTTAGGGGATGGTGTGGTTTGCATGTGACCCCCAAAGTTCATATGTTGGAAACTTAATCCCCAATGCAACAGTGTTGAGAGGTAGGACCTTTAAGAGGTGATTCCATTAATGCCAGGAGTGGTGAGAGGTAGTTGAGGTAGTTGAGAGGTAGGTGAGAGGTAGTTGAGGTAGTTGAGTGTTGAGAGGTAGGACGAGGTAGTTGAGAGGTAGGTGAGAGGTAGTTGAGGTAGTTGAGTGTTGAGAGGTAGGACCTTTAAGAAGTGATTCCATTAATGCCAGGAGTGGTCCTCTCCCCACTCCTCTGCTGCTCTCTTGTTCTGCCTTGTGGTGCCTTGTGATGCCTGGGATGACTCAGCATGAAGGCCCTTACCAGATGCAGCCCCTCAATCTTGGACTTCCCAGCCTCCAGAGCCATAAGCCAAATAAATTGTTGTTCCTTATAAATTACCCAGTCTGTGATATTCTGTTATAGTGGCACAAAATAGACTATGACAGGGGTTGACATAAAGGGATGAAAGAAGAAAATCTCCTAGGTGTTTAACTTGAGCCACTGTGGAGTAATGGTACTATTACCAAGATCAGGAAGGTTCTCATCCAGCATCTTCCACTTACTGCATGAGCTTTAGTACATAATCTCAGTAACTAAGAGGGAGTGACTCTAACCTCAGTAACTAAGAGGGCGTAAGACTAGCTGAAGGATCCCAAACTTTAATACTGATGTGACTGGGTAGTCATGTACTAAGTGAGGTTGGCAGGGTGTAATAGAAAGGAGGGGTGGGGCTTGTGACAGACTGAGGTATGCACACCTGCCTAAGGGTACAGTCACTGCTCAGTTCCAACTGATTTTTGCCAAATGGGAATGGAGACCCAGAGTTGCCAGATGTTCTGTTTTTTGTTTGTTTGTTTGTTTTTTATCAAGACTGAGTCTTGCTCTGTCACCCAGGCTAGAGTGCAGTGGCACCATCTCGGCTCACTGAAACCTCTGCCTCCTGGGTTCAAGCAATTCTCCTGCCTCAGGCTCCAGAGTAGCTGGGATTACAGGCACCCACCACCACGCCTGCCTAAGTTTTGTATGTTTAGTAGAGACGGGATTTCACTATACTGGCCGGACTGGTCTGGAACTCCTGACCTCATGATCCACCCGCCTTGACCTCCCAAAGTGCTGGGATTATAGGCATGAGCCACTGTGCCAGACCTTGATTTTTATAATGAGGCCAGAAATTCAGATTGTGTTAAAGCTCTAGTTTTTTAAATGCTGGTAATTAACTAAAACTTTTTTTTTTTTTTTTTTTTTTTTTTTAGACAGAGTCTTTTTTTTT